AAAAATACAGTGTTTGTGAAGTAGGAGTATAATAGTTGGAGGATAAGGAAAGGCAAAAGGAGGAAATAAGATCAGTGAACTGTAGTCAGGCAGCTCTTTTAAATTTTCTTACCAATTTTTATGCATTATCCTCAAACCTTTTCAGGTCTTATGAATGCTAATGGATAATTTTCTTTCAATTTTATATTCAAGTAAAGAGTGAAATTACTTTTGGATACATATAAATTATAGTGAAACAGGACTTTTCCCCACCATAGAAGATGATGGTAGTTAGCACTGTGAGGGTCTACAGGGTACTGTTGGCAGACAGGCATGTTTAAGATTGTTTGGGATCTTCTGTATGGAATACACACACAAAAAAATCAATAAATAAAAAAATGAGTTATATTTGAAAAAGAAACATATGACTAGGTCAGAGAAAGTACACGAAGCTGTTTACTCATCCACATATTTATCTTCAAACACTAAAGTTGCTGAGTTCTCTGTGACAAAAGGGATGTGGGAGACGGTGAGGCAGGGGTACTGAATCTGAGCAGACAGGCTGGCTTTTGGTTTCTTTTCTTGTCTTTCCCCCGTACTTTACTTTTATTTAATTTTAAGTTCTTTCTAATACCCAGTGTTTTCCATTTTTAGGAATACAATAAGTGGCAATACTCATAAGTACTTATAAATACACTTATTATAGTAACCTATTTTTATATGAAAGTCATTATCACAAAATAAAAGGTCCTTAAAGTCAGAGAAACCTGTCTTTATGCAATAAAAATGGACTAACTAGGGGCTGGAGAGATGGCTCAGTGGTTAAGACCACTGTCTGTTCTTGGAAAAGACCTGGGTTCGAATTCCAGCACCCACATGGTGGCTAACAACCATCCACAACTCCAGTTCCAGGGAATCCTATACCCTCTTCTGTCCTTCACTGGTGCTGCATGACACGGGTGCACTTACACACATGCAGGCATAACACTCATACATACAAAAAAAATTGTTTAATTGCACAGCTATAATTGAAATGGTTTTAGGGTAATGAATAATTTTGGAGCTAGATTTGTAAATATCAATTATTAAAGTGTCTGAGAGAAGTATTACTTTGAGTTCACAGAACTGAGGTCAGTGCAGCTCCTTTGTGTTTGCTGTTCTTTCACTACTCTAGCAAGGACATGAGTAGCCCAAACCTCAGGGTCTGGTGAGGGAGCTGGGCAGATTACAAAGACATTATTTACTTCACCTTAAATTAAGGGAAAATATTTATCTGAAGAAATTATAGTATATGACTTTGATAAGACTCCTCACCTATTGGTTTTCTAGACTCACAATGATTGTTATGTTTATAATGTTCCTTCTATCTCCTGAGAGACCACTTACAAGTATTGAACAGTGGGTCAAATGACAAAACTTTGCAAGTTCTTCAGCATTATTATTTACCACATGGGTTTCCAGTATAGATCTACTTTCTGTACCATGTTGAACAGTCCATATGGCAAAGTGGGCCCTCCAATTTCTTGTCCTTCAAAGTTTTGTAGAATTGTATATTTAGCGTAAGTTTATCACTATTTAAATGTGCACTTAAGAATATTTATTATTTATATTGATCTAATCAATTTATATTTTTATACTATGTGTATGAGTGTTTAGCCTGTATGTACCCATATCATGCAATGCCCATGGAGGCCAGAAGAGGGTGTTGGAGCTCCTAAAACTGGAGTTAAGAATGGTTGGTAGCCACTATGTTGGTTCTGGGAATCAAACCTGGGTCCTCTGCAAGAGCAGCCACTGCTTTTAACTGCTAAGCCATTTCTCCAGCCCCAGATCTAAGTAATTTTGAGGGAGCTACTGGTCACTGTGGGTAAAGTTAATTAAATTCTGAATGTACTACAGTGGTTCTAAATCCAAATGCATTTTAATGAGAATACAAACTTATCAGCGGGAAAATCACTGAAGAACAAACATCATCTGCACAGCTGACTTTCCGTCTTCAGGACACAATTCTGTTTTTGTTTGGCACTACAGTATCTGAGGGTTTTAAAGAACACAGATCAATAGTTTCCATCTCATTATATGTTGTGGGATGGAAAGTCCATTTGAATTGGGAGAATTTTGTAAAACAAGAGAAAGGAGAGCTTCATTCTAAGCCAAAAGGCTGACAGGAAGTCAGAGGAATGTCACTGTCCACTACCTTCTCACAAGGGTATTCTTTCAGAGACAACCCCATGCAGAGGAATTTTGGATGTTCCAAGATTCATCCCTCCAGGGTATTTGAAGATCTGGACAGAATCCAAAGCTTTGCACACCCTGACACTATCAGTATATCAAAGAGTGTTGCTGTCATATGTTTCTTCAGATAAAGAGAGAAGCTTCAGTGTGTGTCACAATAAATGAAGAAATAAACATCTCACTGCACAAGAAATTCAGGGTGGTACTGGGTGAACTTGTATTGTTTTACTAAGAACTGAACTTTAGGAGTATATTTTCTTTCATTTTACAGGTTCCAAAATTTCCAAGTAACTAGTAGGAAATTACTTGTTCTTGTTCACACCTTGAATTCTTTTCTGGTAGAGTAACCCCATTTTCGTGGGATGAATGTGAGTTCTTCTAAAGGAACAACTTATCATGTGTAGAGATTGTTGTGGCAAGTCATTACAATTAAACCACCATCTTAAAATTCCCCTGGAGTCATGTAAAGATTACCCAGAATTAGTGGCTACTGCATCTCTCTCTAGCATGATAGGACAGAATTAGTAAAAATTTGAAACTTCTGATTAAATTATCCTTTACATTAGCCTATGCTTATGTAACTCTTCACGATTATCTGGCCTTTACCTGAAAAAAAGTCAGCTATTTATGCAAGTGACCACCAATGTTTGAGTAAAACCCAGGAGACTAAAATCCTCATTAAGCACTTTCATTCAATCATGAAGTGACATGAGAGGCTGTTTATATTCTTTGTTTCATCATTTGCCTTGTTTGAAATAAAAATATATTATGAAGCTATTCCAATATGCATATTTGTAAAGATTGTACCATTAGTTCATGTCAAAGGTCTAATTCACTGCAAATTGAGCAGTCACTGAGGAAGTCTACCATCAACAACAACTAGCTAATTTATTTTTCCCTGGAAAAAGAGTGACTGTGAAAATTTTGAGGAAAATCAATATGTCAGCTTTTAAGTTATAGGATTTTAAGGATCTAGAACATTTTGATAGAGTGGGAAATGTGAACATTTTGGATTGAATCACTGATTTTGGAAATGAAAAAAAAATGTCAAGGAGTTGATTAAATGTAAAGGTCAAACAGATTTATGCAACTTAACTTGGATTTCCATTTTTACAATAAGTGAATCAGATTCAATGTTTGGGTTTTAATGACGGTGATGAGTCACTTGATTGAAACTGAATGCCTAAATTAAAATTTGTAAAATAGCTTACATCCCTGAGGATTAGTAACATGAATTCTATTCCATTTTCAAAATCACATACTCATGGAGAATTATTTAAAGTATTATCAGACACAAAAAAATCAAAATTATTTGCTTTCTGAAAATAAGTTATATGTGAGATTCTAAATGGAATGGTCACTGATTTAAAAGCAGTTGTAGGCACAGTTTATGTAAGACTCTTGCAGTGAAACTACATTTAATGTTAGATGTACATTCTGTGACATCCCCCACAGCTTTTGAGTTGGAAGTTTTGTTATGCCCTAGAGAGCAGCCTGGCCATCAGGTCTTTTGAATTCAGATCTTGACAAGAGGCCTTCCCTTGGGCTGCTGGAGAGAGCTGCCAATGACATTCCCTGTAAGGGACAAGCTATGTTGTCCATGTCAGACAGACTGTGATTTAAGCTTTGCTGAGCTAAAAATAAGATTCTATGTCCTTTTGAATTTTAGGTTCTTTCTGCAAATTCCAAGAGACACGTTAATGGTCTTGAGAAGACTGTATATCTAAAGTAAATTAATTTAGATTTTTGTGAGAGGATAAACTGTATATTAAAGCCATAACAATGTGATTTTTTTTAGGCTATGGGAAAGAAGAGGTGTCCAAAAGAAAACAAAACAAACAAATAGCAATGACCATAACAAAACTAACCCTTCTTTCCATGTTTATATTGTTTGTCCTTCAAAACACACAAGGTTCAAACGACACCTGACAGAAATTATGTGTTCTGCCTTTTACAGTATGTTACATCAAAATAATGTCTTTCCAGATCCTGATTTGCTATTGTTTTCAGAATAAATGCTTGACTTTCTGAAAATAGAACTGAAACATGTAACCGCAAATCTTGAGGCTGTAAACAGTGCTTGAATATGTCTGTATGACCTTGTGTAAATCAACTAAGAGACGGGCCTTGGTTTTCTTACCTCTGAAAATGGAAAGAATGCTTTTCTATGGCCATTTATGAGTAATGGTTGTTCAAGAACAGTTGACAGAAAATGGCTTTCAAGGGCTATAAAATCAAAGCGGGCCTCTGGGCTCTTTGCTTACCATCCTAAGACACCAGAAGTTGTGGGATGAATGGGAATCCTGATCTGGAACTGTCAGCCATAACAAGCATGAGCCTTACTTGTACAGCCTAGGCTAACAAAACCATCAACCATAAGAGGTGGTTAATGATTGTGATAACTGACAGTGGGGTCAAGAGCAGCATATTCCCCAATATTCTAAGCTAAACCACACTCTGCCATGCTACTGCACAGACCTGAGTCCCAGATTTGCCAGCCTCTGCATCACAGATGATTCAAGTTTTATTTTTCTGTTCTTCCAGTTCTTAGACTATACCTGGGTACAGCTGGGATTCCCTAAGGCTTCTGAACCCTTGGCCTTTGGGTCTCCAGGAAACTTAATGTGCATATTTACATGACATAACTATAGTTGGGTTGCAGTGTTAGTTTCTTCTCCTAAATGACCATGCAGGTAGAAGGAATCTGGAGCCTCTTTGGTACCACCCGTTCTAGTGCCCTATACATAGTATCTTGAAAGAAAAATGTTACCTCCAATTCCTTTTAGGTTAGGATTTTAAACAAGAAGATTGATTTTAGCAAAGTTCAGTCAAGATGTGGTTCCAAGGATAACATCAAACATTCTGCTGGGGGCGGAAATGTAAGTAGAAGCTTCTGTGAGGAAGCTCTCCTGATTGCGTGGAGCCAGCACCCTCTTTCCTTCCCCGCCTTCCTCCTGACACACTCCTCCTTTCTCACTACTGTCCCACGCGTCACCTACTGTGTAGCTTGCTTTCTTGATGATGGGCTTCCCATCTTTGCCAGCAAGATAAGTTGTGAAAGAAAACCTTACTAGATGCACTATGGGTTTCTGAGGGATGGGAAACCCACTTCACTAGCAACTGTATTTACTGGCCTTTTTCATCATGAAGGCATTTCTTCTGCTGTCTATATTTCTCTGCAAAAGTGAGCCGGGCTCATACCTCTTTAACTCCATTTAAATTACTCTTGAGGCAATGACTGATATACTTGAAAATGCTCAGAATATGTAATGTCAATCTTCCATCATTCTTATTCATGAAAGTTAGGATATCTTTTAGAGTAATACAAAATTGGTGAAGCATGGCTCATCTATAATTCAAAGTGAAAAGATTGAAGTCCTAGCATACATTCTGTGTGATGGGATTTCTCCTGTCTCTTTCATTTAGTGGAAATAATATCTTATGAGGGGAAATGAATACCGAATCTATACTTCTTATGAAGTAGTCATTCAAACTAAAGCTAAAGAAAGCATGACTCTTCATGAAATCATAATTTCAAAAGGTGAATCATGCTATTTTACAGCTCCTACCATCTAAACTTGAGATTCTGATACTCTGAGTTAAGTGAAGTCCAGAATCTTTAGTAGTCTGAGACTCCTTATCTATTTCCTCCTCAGCAGGGCAAAAATATATTTAAGCACTAAAAGGAAAGACATAGGCTGGGGACTTGGTGGCACACACCTTTAATCCGAGCACTCCAGAGGCAGAGGCAGGAGGATTTCTGTGAGTTCAAGGCCAGCCTGGTCTACATAGTGAGTTCCAGGACAGCTGGGGCTACAGGGAGACCCTGTCTCAAAAAGACCGAAAAAAA